TGTATGAACCTGTCAGATCATTCAAAATCGATCCATAGTAATGTTCAGAAACTAAGCAACCTTGTGAAAGATGTACAATCAGATAACAACTGGATGCCTGATTGGCCATGGTTTTTGGGATTGGGGCTGTGGTTAGAGATTTATAGTCCTTGGGGTTTTCGCATTGATGATTGTCGTAGGCATACTTGTTTGTATTCTTTGTTTTATTCAGTGTGTTCAAAGAATGATTGATCACACCATAAAAGCGGTGATGGTTGTTAATACAGAAGGGGAAATTGCAGCAGACAGACTCAGTGAAGGGCCTGTGGCCAATAGAGAAGTGCACGACATGTTGCAGCTGGTGGGGCACGAGCCGTGGGAATAGCGAACAGAAGATAGTCAGAGGGATGCAGGAGAAGGTAGTGGAATGCACTGGCATTTATCCAAAGAGAAACATGAGATTGCAAGGTGGTGGGAATATGGTTATGAGGTGTTGGGAATATGATCTTTTGTGGGAACAGTGTAAAATACGTGCATGGCTGTTGGAAAGTTACTGAATGCTTGTAATGCAAAACAATGCCCTGTGTGAAGGTATATAAAGGCATGCTTTAGTACAATAAAGGTCTTCTCTCCTCCCCAAAGTTGTCAGTGATGTCTTTCATGGTAGAGACAATCTCAAGGGTGGGAAGGTTCTGGTGCAAAGGGTACCATCTCTACTTGGTGCATGCTCTCTTAAGAAGAAGCAGCATTAGTAGTTGTCAGGTTAATGCTGGTAGGATTGGAAATGTGGTCAAGGATTACTATTTTTGTTTGGTTTATGAGGAAATGGGGGGGGGCTGCTTCTCCCTGTTATTTTATTGGGAATATACCAGTGGAGTGGAAGCCTTTGGAAATATAGGAATTCTCATAGAAGCTGTGCTTGTCCACGTAAAATGCTCATAAGAGCCTAGACCCTGGTGACAGGTTGATCTTTGACTGCTGTTGGGAGACATGTCCAGATGACTGCTGCTCATGTTGTGTTTGATAGCCTTTAATGGGGTATTTTGAGACAGTTTCCGTGTTGTGGGTGCTGAATGGTCCAGTTCCCGGGGTGAGTTTGCTCTGAGGACTCCCAGCACTTCCTCACACCCTGCTGCAACCAGGCTTAATGGCTTTGGAAATCCACCTTACACTTCTGGATATGACCCCAGTCAGAATGTGACTTCTTGACTGCAAGGTGTAAGGAAAGGTGATGGGCCCACTGGATAAAGAGAAATCTTCTGTCTCTGGTGCATAATTCTGAACATTTCACAAACATTACACATATACATGGCACAGGAGGTAGATACCTTAAATAAGTACTCTGAGTCCAAGTGCTAATTATCTGCTAATGGGGTATTTTTTCTCCTTCAGTTATGTAAAAGTACACAGCATTCAGCTTAAAGAGTGCACTTAAAAGGCTTTGTACAGGTGGAGAATGAGCACTGGAGCTCTTGGAGCCCCTTGCTGAGCTCCTGGTACTGCCCTGGCACAGTGCCTCTCCTCTCCACACTTGTCCCACTTCCCAGGCCATTTTAGCTGACTTTCTGTCTTATGTATCTCAATGTTACCCTTGTCAGCAATGCTGGGAGAGATGTATCTAAAATTATAAATCCTATACCATGATTTTTTTTTACCACAGCTGTTGGTCAGACAGTAGTGAAGCTGCCTGTTGAGTACAGAGTCCCATAAAGTGAATGAGCTCTTTGATCACAACCCTGGTAAGAAGGGGTCTCAGTGGACACAGTGAACTGCTCTCATGGGAAAAAGAGATGCAGTGACCCATCCGCATTGCAGAAAGGCCTTGTCAGAGCTTGCTGGAGCTGAGCTGACATCAAGGAGAGGGCAAGGGTCAAAGGCTTGTGCTGGATCCGGCAGCTGGAGGGAGACCCTGATATATCTTCACTGACCAGCTCACCCCAGAGTCATTGAGCACCTCGTACATCAGGGCTTCACCCTCTTTTAACTAATTCTAATTGAGATGTAGTTTTTTTATTCCTTATGTCCTTTGAGAAGCAGTACAGACTCATGTCCAACGGGGATGAAAAGAACCCAGAATAAGTCGATCACAGAGAGATACTTTCTCTGAACAGTCATAAAAATATGGAAATGTGATACTTTCTTATACTAAACATTATAAGTTATTAAGTAATGTTATAATGCTCTAAACCATCTTTATGGGAATCAAAAGGCAGATGCAGAGCCTGGAAAACTCTTTGTGCTAAAAGTGGTTTTGTCACAAAGTGCATCCCCTCTGCCTGATTCCCACACTTTTTCCTGCAGCATCTAATTGGAACAGAGGCCAAAATGAATACTTTGCTCCATGAACTATGGAAAGAGAAAAACACATGCTTGTATTTGTAGGGTATTGCATGGTCTGTATCTTTAGCCCTGTTATCAGTAATGATTGTTTTCCTGTAACTGTGCAGGGGAGTGTGTGTGTGTGATTCTTCTGCAGATGGATATTTTGTGATATTTGAGCTAAATTCAGCTCCAGCATATGATAGTATTTTTCAGAAAGTGTCACTAACTGCACCACTTACTCTGCCTTGATTTCAGACTATTATATGTCTTCTTTAACAGAAGGGGAAATGACTGATAGAAGTGCCATACACAAGTGAAAAAGACTTTAAGATCACCATGCCTATTAGAGATGCGTGAATGCTAATGCTGGTGCCCATGGCATGCCTGCACATGGAACAGGATCATAGTCCTATGCGTGGTAAAATGTGTTTCACAGTGAAACTTTCCCTTTGTTTTTCAGTGTTCTTGGATAACATCTCAGTCCCTTTCTACTGTAACTTCCCAAAGTGTAAACTTCGGAGCTCTGGCTGGATCCTGCCCACAGACACACCAACTCTTCCTGTGAAATCTTTTCTTTCTGTGCACATCCTCCCTCTGAGCACCTCTGGTTTCTGCTGCTCTATAGCCCGAATTTCAGGCTATGCCAGTGTTAGCGTAAGAACTGACACATAACCACTGGAATGGTTATATGAGGTGCTTTATTGAAGGGCTGGGAAACCAGGGGCACGCGCCCAAATCTGGCTTTGCCCCCGTCACATCGCATCCACAATTTATACACTATTTAATACAGATTACATCATTGATTAATACATATGCATCAAGGATTACCACATCAATTTATTACATCAGCCTCTTTTGCGCTTGCGTAGCCCCCTCTGGTGGTCGTCCTGATGAAGTAAGGAGTCTTCCTCGGATGAAGTAAGAAGTCTTCCTTGCTCTGTCCTTTTCACCTTTCCATTCTTTGGACAGGCCCCAACCATTATGTGGATGCCAGCATTCTCTTGTCCTCACTTGACTACCCTTGGTATGCCTGTGGATTCTGCTTCGATAGAGTTTTACAATACTTTCTCATATCTACTCATGTACCCTTCACCATACATGGTTATGTTAGCTCTTGCTACCAAGACTACCATTGTAACATTTGTTATAGAGTAACCATGATACAAGACTGCAAACCAAGCTACAAAGTTACAACATTTCCTAATATACAAAACCACACTATTGATTTAAAAATTTCTTAAATATAATCATTTCTACTATTTTATATGATTGTTTTATCATAAGAATTTCACCCTTTTCTAACACCAGTCCTCTCTATGACTGAAATGTGGGATGCCAGTTATTTATTTATGCAAAGCATTTGGAGGCATTAAGTCAAGAACACCATAGAAACTGGGATGATATTGTAGTTGGGGCTTTTATCCAGGTTGTTTGATACATTGTGGATGCCTCCTGCCTTTGTGTGCTCCAATCCCATTTTTTCCTGATGTTCCCTATTTGACATGATTTACTGTAAATTGAGACACTATTTTGCAGCTGTATCCACTGTGACATTTGACTCTTCACTGAATGAGTGCATTATGCCATGTGCTTTGGAAACATCTCTTTTTAAGAAATAATCCAGGCCTTCAATAGTTTCCTGCATGTGATAAGCAGATAGACTCCACAACTCATTAAAGTTGTAAAGTAGGTATGCAAAAAGCATACCTTTATTCAGCGCTGAGACGCATGGGGGATAGCTCCTCCAAAGGCATGCGTGCTTCAGTGTTGTTTCCCTCTACATTTATTCCCTGAAGTTATATGCATTCATAAGGTTTAACAATATGCCTATACATATTTATGTCCTATCCCTGCTTCGTATTATAATGAGCTAGAAGGTCCTTTGCGCCTGTGCAGTGCCCCCCCGGTCATGGGGGAGGGTCTCAAAATGAAGTAAATGAGTCTTCCTCTTGTGAGTAGGGGTCTTCAAGATGAAGTAAATGAGTCTTCCTCGAGCCTGAACTTTTCAACTCTAGCTGTTTAGGAGTCTGGTCAAAGTCCAAACCACAAAGCTGGTCTTCACTGGAACTAAGTAACTGTTCCTCCCCCTTATCAGTCTGTTTCTTCCCCTTATCAGGCTGTTTCTCCTCCTTATCAATAGCCTATTGTCCTGGTACTGCATGGCAAGCTTGACAGGTATTTGAAAACAATGCTTTCTGTTAAACAGGCAAAATTTCTTTATCCCCCCTTGTATGACCCCCTTGTACAACCCCCTTGTACATTGGTCAGCCCTCTGCATCACATGCGCCTCTACTCCTTTGCACATCCATAGAGCTCTGGTGTTTGCTCATCTCTGTCAAATCTCAGCCACACCAGTTCCTGATATGCCAAGGGCTGGTGACGGTGGAGGTGATGTGGGCATCAGGTCTTGGTAAGGATCAAATCCCATTTTGCATGGACAGATGTGGGTGACGGGACAGAAATAGTTAACAAAATGGATCCAGTTATCGCCCTGGTCGGGCTTAAGCCTTGGGAACTGTAAAGAGAACAATGAAGTGTCAAGATCGGTTAGCAAAAGAAAGAAGGAGGTTTGCAAGATAAAGAAGGATGTGCATCTCAAAGACAGACCAAACAATGTAAATATTTGTAACCTTTAGTAGTTTTGCTGAATCAGGATGACAAGGAAGTAAGAGAGTGGAAAGTTACTGCTTGTGGGTAACAGAAATAGTTAAGGAAATGGATCCAGGCGTTATCACCCTGGTCTGGCTTAAGTCCTGGGAACAGTAAAGAAAATACCAGGTGCTGTTGCCCTGGACCTGCTCAAGCCTTGGGAACCCTGAAGAAAACATCAGGTGTCAATACCCTGGTCGGGCCTAAGCCTTGGGAACTGTAAAGAGAACATGAAGGGTAAAGATCGGTTAGCAAAATAAAGCAGGCGGTTTGCAAGATAAAGCAGGATGTGCATCTCAAAGACAGACCAAACAGTGTAAATATTTGTAACCCTTAGTAGTGTTGCTAAATCAGGATGACAAGGGAGTAAAAGAGTGGAAAGTTACTGCTTAGCACCTAGTAGACTATAAAAGGGATGTGAAATGTGAAATAAAAGTCTTCAGATTTCACCAGAGCTGTAGTGGACTATAAAAGGGATGCCAGATGCACAATAAGGGCCTTCAGATTTCACCAGAACTGGAGTCTGTCTTTGATACGACACAAGCAGACGTGCTGAGTGGCTTTTCCGGGGCATTATCATTTTGCCACATTTCTCTTACATATTATGTGTCATCTCTTAATTAAGTCTATGTGTTTAATGTATTCTTTAAGGTTGATTCTGTTATTGGCTGCTCCAAAATTAAGGCCTGGGCATTTGGTGTCCACCAGATCAGTCCTTTAATGTGTTGAAGATACTCCTCTTTTGACTTTAGAAAGCTGAAATACTGAGTCTGGTTTTCTTGAAGCAGGCTTACTCTATTGGGTGCCTAACTCTCTTAGTCCTCATTGAACACCCCAGCTTTCATGAAGGTTTTATTTTTGCCTTTACACAACTGTGCTATTTTTATGTAACTTGTGATTTCAAACTGATTCTGAAATGCTTTCAGAATAATTATGTCTAAATACAGAAATGCATAGTGTTTTGCTCTCAGTATTTGTTATAAGTGAGTCTCAAGAAAAGGCAGAGACTGGCTATTTGAGTCTCAAATAAGGGGAAGAGACTGGCTATTTGAAATTAATCAATTTATTAAGCAAGCAATAGTAAGCAAAACAGCGCTGGGCGGCCGGGGAGTCTCCGCTCCGCCAACGGCGTGCACCCCCTCCCACAGGTTCTGTCCTTTTATATCCTTTTCTTCAGGTGTAGGTGTCCTTCTTGTTATCTTCGCATGTGGGGCTTGTTGCTCGAGGCTGTATTCTATCTCTCGGTGGTTGTGGGGGATGAAGATAAGCTATCTTCCTCCTGACTTTTGGCCTAGTTTCGACATGTCTACTTGACACATCCCGGGGCAAGCTACCTTCCCCCCTGACCTTTTACCTAGTTTCAACAGATCTACTCGACACATCCCGGCTTCAGGATATCTTGTTTAAACACCAGATGCCTACGGTTACAATCCTGCATAAGCAGATACAGGGCTGTTACAGCTGGTTTTCTTTAAGCAATTTCTAAAGTTTATAAAAGTGTTCTAAATTTTACAATATAATTCTCTCAAATTGTAAGACCAGTTTGATTGAACAGACTCCATTTATCCCATTACTTATTCAATACACAAGTTTCACCTCATCCTGTAACAGAAGGTATCTCTTGATTACCTAACCCCCTCAAGGCATTCAAGCAGTTAAACAAAGTACCCCTGTAATTAGCAAAGCGTTTGAGACATTCAAGTAGTTAAACAAAGTACCCCTTAAAGTAACAAAGTGTTTGATTAGGAAAGATTATTCCTTTGTTTCTTCTTCTCTTTCATCATTGTATTGACAGGAACATCTATCTTAATCTGATCATTGGTATACATTCTACACATGATTTTCGATTCCACCCAAAGTACAATGATGACAAGGACTCCTAAGTTGCTGACACGAATCATTCCTATATACCTCACACACCCCATTTCCCCAAAGTCACTGATTTTATACTCTTCTTTATCCAGTGTACGTGCTACTCTTGGCGTACTCTGCGTTTGTGTGGCCCGTTGATAAGGGGTCTCATTCTGCCTCCCAGTGGGTGTGGGGAGAAAGACTCCTTATCTCCTTCGAGGGTCTCATTAGGCCTCCCGGTGGGTTCAGTGGGTGTGGGGAGGAAGGCTCTTTATCTTCTTTTCCGTACCTAGTTTACTTTAACAGATGCTTGCAGTCTATAAGCCAAATGTCAAAGTGTCAAAATTTTCCAGTAACCTTTAAGCAAGCAAGTAACTCTTAAACAATTAACTTTTAAGCAAACAAGATTTGATTAACAAACAGGAATTCACTCATCACAGTATTGAATGCCAATAAATCCATATGTTATAGAGGGGCTGGTAGTCCATCCTGCGTTTCCCAGAGTAAGGCCGAGCCATTGGTTTCCTATAACACTGCCAGGGTGGAACTACCTTAGACAACATTGTCTGTGCCAGCTCTATGCCTTAAACATATAGTTTTGGGACAACTCAAGCCGAAGTGATATTATTCTGGATGATCTTTGTCCAGCATGGATGGAATAATATCCTGATAGAGCAGCATGGTGTAGCTACTTTCCAAAGAGCTCCTGGTTACTATTGCTATGGGTAGTATCTTCCTAAAAATGGCATCAGACTTTAAAAGTTATGTTCACTGTGCACGCACATGGCAGAAGAGATCAGAGCAGAACAAAATCATCATCTTAAGTTAGTTGGCATGAAAAGTGAGTATGTGTATAGCTTTTCTCCTACATGAAAAGGGAATGTACTCATACAAGCACTGGCATCTCTGAGAAGGAGCATGGCAGTGAGTGGAGGGGCAGGGCCCACCATGTCCCCCCAGATCAGGTCTTGGTGCTTCTGTGTCAGGCTCATGGGGCTCGGATGGGGATGCTGTGAAGCTGTCAGTTGCCTCTGCCAGCAAATCCCATCTTCAGACAATCCATGCTAAGTGTGGGAGTGTCCTGGGTTTAGCAGTAGCAGTCATTTTTCTCCTTCTTGGTAGCTGGTGCAGTGCTGTGTTTTGACTTTCGAGCTGGGAACAGAGCTGATAAAAATGATGTTTTGGTTTGGCCAAGGACTTTGTGAGCCTCATGCTCTGCCAGGGAGGAGGGGAAGCCGGGAGGAAGCAGAGACAGGACACCTGACCCAAACGGACCAAAGAGGTATTCCATACCACAGCACGTCATGCCCAGGAGGTAACTGGGAGTTAGCCGGAAGGGCAGGTGGACTGCAGGGTTGGAGGAGGTATCGGTCGGTGCTTGGTCGGGCTGGGGGGGCGAGTTTTCGGTCACCTGGTGCTGAGGTGTTGTATTCTCTTCCCTTGTTATTTCCTTTCTCATTATTATTATTGGTGGTAGCAGTAGTGATTTGTGTTATACCTTAGTTACTAAACTGTTCTTATCTCAACCCGTGGGAGTTGCATTCTTTCTGATTCTCCGTCCCTCCAGGAGTAGGGGGAGGGCAAGAAGGGGGGGAGTGAGTGAAAGCTGTCTGGTTGGGGTTAAACCACGACAGGGAGTCCTCACTGCATCTCACTGCTGGTTCCCTGTCACCAGCAGCTGCATTGTGTATAGGCTAGGAGCTGTCATGTATAATATAGGACAGTGACACTCCCAAAAGGGGTTCCAAGCAGAGAATCCAGCATACAAATCACCCTAGAGATGTGACGAGATGTGGATGTTGTCCAGAGCTGCAGGAGGGCTCTTGGTTCTCTCCTGGAGGGACCTGCTCTGCACTCTGGCACTCTCAGCTTTATGCTTTTCTTAAAATTCCTCATAATGAAAAGAAAAGGCATCTGTGAGGAAACAAGACTGATAATAGATTCAAAATGTATTTTTATTGCATTCTTAAATTACCATAGTTAAATTAAATTATTAAATGTATTTTTATTAAATTAGCACACAGGCTGGTGTCATTTGCCTTAAATATTTTAATAAAGCCTGTGAAGTCTTCCCTTGTTATTAGAGCTCTCGGAATGTGTCTATTTTAATGACAATGTGAGTTTAAGTTTGATGTTGGGAAGAGCACCTGGATGAATTGTGGGAAGTGAATAAGCCTTGCCTAAGTGGGAGAAGGAACTCATTGAACATTTGTCTTGAGTAGTTTTATTCATAACTTGCACCAAGTGCTCCATGGGATAACAAATTTAAAACAGCTAGGATTTTTTCTAGAAGAAACCTTCCCAGCAGAGAGGTGCAGGTGACTCCAGCTACTGCTAAATTTAACACGTTGGGAAAGGCAAAGGAAATAAATCTTCCCTCTAGCTCTCTAGAAGCAGCCGAGCGGCGGGGGTGTGTGGGTGTGTAAAAAAAACCCCACAACTTCTCCCGCGACCGCTGAGCCACCCGCGGTCCGCACCGGGCTGTGAGCTGTCCCCAATGCGGGCGGCTCCGCCTGCATGCGCGGTGTCTGCGCGCTGCGGACCGGCCAACGAGTCAACGTCGGCAGGTGGGGAGTATGGGAAGCTGCGCGCGTATTCCGCGCCACTCTGCGCAGCGACAGCGAGTCCGGTCCGTAGCTCTGCGATCCGCGTTTTGCGGGCGGCAGCTGTATTTCCCGGACTGTCCATGGCTCGGTGCTGTTGACTCTCCATCTGATCGGCGCAGGCTGCGCGGGGCTCCCTACGGGATCAGAGAGCTCCCCCGTCGGGATATCACTCCTCACATCCTCTTGCTGGGACTCAGCTACATTTCCAGCCAAGCCTGGCTTTATTATGTGTGTCTGCACTGCAACCCTAGCAGCAAGATCAGGAGGAGGAAAAGGAGCCAGGACAAAGAAAAGAGAGGGAGGCTGGCGAGAGGCAAAGAAAATAAAAACCCAGGGCAGCAGTAGCAGTAATGAAGGCAAGAGCGGTGCCACCTTCCAGCGAATAACCTATGGATGCAGCTAGCGGCCCCGGCATCGATGCAAAGAAGCACTTGCCTTGTTCCGCGAAGTGTGTGCGGCGAGCGCGGCCGGCCGCTGGGAACCCACCCACCCGCCAGCCCAGCTCCACGTCCGCCCCGCGGCCAGCCTAAAGAGGGACTCGCCGTCCTCCCCGGGCAGCGGTGGGGCGAGGAAGGGACAGAGCGGGCGGATGGGCAGGCAGGGTGGGAGGGAGGGAAGGAAGAGGAGGGAGGAAGGGAGGGAGCGAGGTGCCGAGTGCGACCGGGGGAGGATTTAGAAAAATCGCAACAACAAAGTCGCACCCCCGGAGCGCCGGGGCTCGTCGTGGGCTGACACCGAGTTCTCCCTGGGCGCCCTCCCTCACCCCAGCATCAGGGACCCCACGCAGGGCTCCGCGGTTTGGTGTGTTTTTTTATTTTGTTGTGGGGTTTTTTTTATTTGGTGTGGGTTTTTTTTTTTCCCCTTTCGGTTCTTTTTTTTTTTTTTAATTTTCTATTTTATTATTCCGAAAGTACGAGCAGGACTGAGAGCCGCAGGGCGCCTGCAAACTTTAAAGAGAACAAAGAGGCGGGTGGGGGCGAGGGCTGAACTCGCTTTG